AAAACATTTAGGAACAACACCTAGGCCCTGAGTTCAAGCCTCGGTACTGGCATAAAGTATTTTCGCTCAGCAGAACTATTCTGTTCAGGGTTTAGGTACAGCTTTTGTTGTGCAGACGGTGCTAGTTGATACACAACGAAGGTGCGGCCTTGATTTAACCATGGGAAAGATTCTGTGTGCGTTTGGATCTTGGCTTCTGGGCTAGTAGCTTGGTTTAGTTGTGACACGTGACTGAAAGACTTCTGTGTGAAAAGTTTGGTCCCCAGCTGCACAGCCATTGAGAAGCATGTGATCCTGAGGGCTCTGATGTCATCTGAGGGTTGGTCCATGGCTGGTATACTCTCAGAGGCAGGGCAGATTCACTGGGAGGAAGGAGATCTGTGGGTTGTGGGAGCTAACTCTTGCCCTGGGCCTCTTCCTGTCCCCTCTCTCTCTTCCTGGCCACAGAGAGGTGAACAGCTCTCCTCCCTCACATCCTTCCACCAAGATGTTCTGCCTCCCACCTGCCTAAAGCAATGGGGCTGACTGAGCATAGACTGGAACTCTGACCCCTGAGCCACATGACTCCTTCCTCCTCACAGTGTAGACCGCAGCGCTGACAAACTGAACAGCAACACGGAGTAACAGTGGCTCTTCCAGAGTAAGTCAGGGGTGATTGTTGGGTATGGCCAATTCTTTTCCTCCAGGGCACTGGATCTTATGAACAGGAAGTTTTCCTCTTGACATGGAGAATAAACCAACTACAAATTTGTTTAGCTTCGAGTTAGATTCTAATTTTTAAAAAGAAAATGTGTCCGGGTGCCGGTGGCTCACGCCTGTTATCCCAGCTACTCAGGAGGCTGAGATCTGAGGATCACAGTTCAAAGCCAGCCCGGGCAGGCAAGTCTGTGAGACTCTTCTCTCCAATGAACTACCAAAAAAAGCCAGACCAGAGCTGTGGCTCAAGTGGTAGAGCACCAGCCTTGAGCAATATAAGTTCAGGGACAGTGCCAGGTCCTTAGAACTGGCAAAAGGCAGGGAGGCAGGGAGGGTGCACTGCAATGTAAACACACAAAAAGAACTTTCATGGTGGATTTTACAAGCTCTGACCCAGGTAGCCTGCCTGCCAACTGTGCTATAACCCCCTGCAGATGGAGATCATTTGAATAAGATGTGTAGAAATGATCTGTAGAAAGATTTAAGACTAAAAAAATAGATTTCTTTCAATTCTGAAATGAACCTCCTCAACCCAAACAAGTAAGTTCGTTTTAAGAGAACCTTGAAGTCAGTAATAGCACAGGAGTTGGACAGTGGTGCCTGGATGTGCTGCTGAGTGGATCAAACGCATCAGAGGACAGAACGCAGGAATCAGGTCTACAAAACACCTCTCGCGGAAGGAAGCTAGGATGGAGCCTGATAGGAAACTTGCTAGGTTTCGTTCCTTGCATTATGTTCTCTTTGAATGATTTTGTACATTTCCATTGTGTAAGCATGGCAGGCTCTTAATACATATTTACTGGATAATTGAGTAAATAATCGATAGAAGAAACTTACCGTAAGAGCCACTATGCCATCCCCGATTAATTCAGTTGATGGGCACAGCAACAAAAACATCCACAGTGTGTCAACACAAAGGCCTAACACTTCATCAGGATGTTTGCATTGATCATCTCATTAAACCTCCATAACTTTCTGCAGTATTCACCCTCCCCTTACAGTGAAGTAAGACAGGGAGAAGTTACCTGCTCTGGTGTATCAAGTCAGGTCTAAACCCTAAGAACGTTCATGGCTTACTTCACAAGCAATTCATTCAGGGTCCACCCAGTGGCTCCCCAAGGACAGGTATGCCTGTAATTCTTCTGACTTACCTCTTGGTCACAAGATGGCTGCACAGTCCTACACACCACATCCTCACAGGAGGGCTGGGCAGAGAGAAGCCATAGGAGCTGACACCAGCCAGCTTTCCTCTGAAATGCTTTTCCCAAAGAACAACCCTTTTCCCAGAAGGTACCATGACAACTTGAAGCCATAAGAAAAGCTGGGAAAGCCACTGTCCAGGACCAGGCTGTGGCCACGCTTGGCTTAGCCTAGCCATGGTTCCTTGCTGTGGCTGATGAACTCAGGTTAGACAATAAGGAAAATGGAGAGAGGAAGATGCATTCAGGACAAATCAAAAAGAAAGTAGTGGGGCTAGAAATGTGGTTTAGTGGTAGAGTGCTCACCTAGCATGCTTGAAGCCCTGGGTTCGATTCCTTAGTACCACATACACAGAAAAGGCTGGGAGTGGTGCTGTGGCTCAAGTGGTAGAGTGCTAGCCTTGAGCTAAAGAAGCTCAGGGACAGTGCCCAGGCCCAGAGTTTAAGCCCCAGGACTGGAAAGAAAGAAACAGAGTGGGACGGGGAGGGAGGGAGGGAGGGAGGGGCGGAAGGAGGGAGGGAGGGAGGGAAGAAAACAAGGTCCTCAGAATATAAAGTGCCAGGAAAATGAGAGACTTGCTGGTGTCTAAAGGCTAGGCTTTGACCATCTTCTGCGCACGCGCGTGAGTGTGTATGTGTGTGTGTGTGTGTGTGTGTGTGTGTGTGTGTGCGCGCGCACATGCGCACACGCGTGCCATTCCTGCAGCTTGAACTCAGCCTGAGCGCTGTCCTGAGCTTCTGTGCTCCAAGTTAGTGCCCAACGACTTGAACTACAGTTTATTTCCAGCTTTTTGGTGCTTCGTTAGAGATAAGAGTCTCATGGACTCTACCTGCTCACGCTGGTTTGAACCACAATTCTCAGATCTCAGCCTCCTGAGCAGCTAGGATGACAGTGTAGCCACTGGTGTCCGGCTCCTCCTTATTAAGAAATGCTGCCTTGTTGGACTGTCAGGGACCCGCTGAAATGCAATGTGTGGCCAGTGCTGTTCCTCCTGGAGGCTCTGGAGGAGCTCTCTTCCTACCATTGCCAGATCCTAGAGGCCACCTGTATCCCTTGGCTTGTGGTTCTGCTGCCATCTTCAATGTCAGAGGCCTCTTCTCTCCAGTCTCTTCTCCCGTTACATTTTCTCTCTGCCTCCCTGGAATCGCATGGGTTACCCAGGAAGATCTCCCATCTCATGATCCTCCCGGCACCATCCCTTGGCCCTGGCCAGTCCCTTCCCATGATCCTCTTGGCACCATCCCTTGGTCCTGGCCGGCCTCTTCCCACAGGTTACTGACGCCATGTTGTATAAACAAAGTTCAGTTTTTTTAAAGCAATGCTTGAAAAAGGAAAACCAAGTGAGAGATGACATGTATCCGGGGGAGGAGGGCTTTCGAGTGACCTTGGATACGGCCTTGTGGCTGCCGCTGGCACAGCTGCCACAGCACGTGGTGTTGACAGCCATGTCAACATTGTTGTTCTGACACAGTGTCAGTGTGATGTGACAGAAGCACGGAGCAATTATGTGTGTTGATGAGCTAGAGGTTGGGGATAGAGTGAAATTAATGAGGTAAATTAACACCCTGTGGTGCTGGCTTTGAAGTGACGTGATTGATTTCATGTATCAATCATAAATGTAGATTTCCTAACTCTGCCCTCTGGAAGGACCTGGTCACCATGAGCACTCTGGGACCCAGAATATGGTCCCCACACATGGCTTCCATGGAAGGAGCCAGAGCCCCACATCTAGCACTGGGGAGAAGTCTGAGCCCAGTCTGGTTGCTCACGCCTATAATCCTAGCTACTCAGGAGACAGATCTGAGCTTCGTGCTGGTTCCATCCAGTCTTGAGGTGGACTGGTCTGTGTGCTCCCCTCCCTGTGAACCCCCATCCCTGCAAATGTGGCCTCATTTGGAATAAGGTCTCGGCAGCTGTAATTACCCTGGACTAGGGAAGGAGCGCTAACGCAGGGTCTTCATATTTGCAAGAGAGAGGACAGGAGGCTGGAGCCCAGGAGCACAGCAGAAGGAAAGCCCCACGAAGACAGAGGTGGTGGCTGCAAGCCGGGAGCCACTGGAGGCCACTAGACTGGACACTGGCAGGAAGACCTTTCCCCTTAACACTGGAGGATGTAGCTGGCACTGGTGGCTCACGCCTGTCATCCTAGCTGCTCAGGATGGTGAGATCTGAGGATCAAGGTTCAAAGCCAGCCCAGGCAGAAAAAGTCCGTGAGACTCTTTTTTTTTTTTTGGTCCTGGGACCTGAACTCTGGGCCTGGGCGCTGCCCCTCAGCTCTTCAACTCAAGGCTAGCGCTCTACCACTTGAGCCACAGCACCACTAGCTTTTTCTACTTTTGTGGTACTGAGGAATCAAACCCAGGGCCTCATGCATGCAAGGCAAGCGCTCTACCACTGAGCCACCTTCCCAGCCCCATGAGACTCTTATCTCCCAAAAACCATCAGAAAACTGGAAGTGGCGCTGTGGCTCTTGTGGTAGAGCACTTGCCTTGAGCTGAAGACCTGAGGGACAGTGCCCAGGCCCAGAGTTCAAGCCCCACAACCAACAACAGCAACAAAAACAAACACTGGAGGATGTGTGGCCCAGCTCACGCCTCGATTGTGAACTTTTGTTTTCCAGAATGCTGAGAGAATCCATGCCCATTGTTTTAGGGGGTGTGGTTTATAGTGCTTTTCGACTGTGGCCACTCAAAACAAAACACAGCCTTCTAATGACAAATACCTATTACTGTATTTGACTAACTTCAAGGGAAGTTAGAAAGCAAAGGGCTTTTCCCATAATCCTCACTGGTGCAGCTGAAAAGCCAGCCAGTCACACCTCTGCCTGTGTTGCCGGATGCTTCTTACACTCTGAAGATTTTAGTGCAAAGCTTTCAAACCTGTTAAATCAGAAACAAGTCAGTCAGGCACCATGAAGTACCACATCTTAGCACCTTTCTAAAGGTGCTGCTCCAAGTTGGCCTGGTCCTTGGTGAACCTAGCACCTTGTACGTAGCCAGCCCCTCTGCTGAAGAGCAGCAATAATGACTTCACTCTGCAGAGATCACCCGCAAGTGCCCTAGCATGGCAGCAGCCACCACGACTCTCCTGCCTCCTGCTTGGTATCAGTGACCCAGGGCCAGCCGCACCCGCTGCATGTGCTCGAGCACAGAAGCCTGAAATGGAAGAGCCGTCATCAAATACGTAAGTCCATGGTTCTTCTTTTATCCTGGGTAAACTGAGGCACAAGAAAGCCACGCAGTTTTGTCCAGAGTGGACGAAGATGAATACCCTGCACTTCTCTGCCCAGGCTGGAGTCTGGCCACCGAACCGCAGGCTTTCCCACTCTGGAAATGACAATGACGATGAAAGCTGGGCCACTTTGTGCCTTCTAGAATAAGCTAGATTCCCAGTGGGTTCTCAATGGCGGAGTCTGGCCTTGGGCAGAGGAGCTGGCTGGATGGCCACAGCCTGTGTGTTCCGTGGGGCATGTCAGACCACCGGAGTCACACAGTCACACACACCCGTGGGCCTCACAAGACACTACTGGCCCAGATTGCTGAAGTGACATGTCCTCCACAGCTAAATACCTTGGCAACCACTGGCCATGTTCTCTGCTGTCCTTGAAGCAGGGCATCCAGCTCTGAAAAGAGGAGGCCTGTGGCCCCCATGCTATTCCTACAGCCATCTCAGAAGCCCACGGCCCAGACACCACCCCAGTCCTCCTCCATCCCAGCATTCCTGCTCCCTCTGACTAGAGTAGAGGGAGGTGTTGGACCGGCTGGAGTCAAGGCCATATCCACAGCCCCGGCAAGAATTGAGTCTCCTGGCTGGGAGCCATTGGCTCACACCTATAATCCCAGCTACTCAGAAGAAGGCTGAGATCTGAGGATCAGACAGGGAAGTCCATAGGACTCTAATTTCTAACTGGCAATATACCAGAAGTGGAGCTGTGGCTTAAGTGGTAGAGTTCCAGCCTTGAGCAAAAAGCTAAGGGACAGTGCCCAAGCCCTGAGTTCAAGCCTCAGTACCAGCACACATACACACACACGTAATCTCTGAGTCAGCTAAGTGTGCTAAGCCTAGCCCCCTTTCCCAGCCCTTCTACTTGCTTCTCCTGTGTGCTCACAGATGTGTCTATCTTGCGGTGCTTGCTTCTCTGGCTTGCTAATACTGACTTTCTCTCGTGGTCAAAGTACAAGTCGATCCAGTACAAGTCTTAGCATATAGTAAGGGGTCAATGCATGTTGTTTAAGAGAAATAAATAAGTAGATCAACAAGATCAAATCATAGTCTAGAAGACTATCATTCCAGTCACAGGCAAAGAAAGGGAGGAACTGCGGCTTGACCACTGAGAAGAAAGCAGTTGGAAACCCAAGAATCCTTGAAGCACTGAGCACGTAATAGGTGCTTGATAAATATTAGTTGACTATTAGGAGAAAAGCATCAGCTTGGGAACCCAAATTCTGCCTCAACATATCCCAGAATTCCTACCCACCCGGAAACAGGTGCAACCTGGTGCTTTTGCTGCTTCCCTCCCGCCCCTTCGGCTAAGTGTGCAAGAGGATTCACATTGTTTCTGCAGAAATGAACAGAGAAAGCGATAAGGTTCCTTTTGTCATTTTTTCCCCCTACTTCAAAAGCAAGCTCTTAAGGTCTCAAGGACAGACAAGGATAAAGTTGACACTCGAATAAGGATAGCAAAGAGAATGCAGAAATTGCTACATTTCCATCCTGAAGGCGCTGGGCTGGGAAGGGAGGACTGCCAAAGGAGGCCAGAGAGGAAGAGATCAGGTGATATCTGAGACAGCACCAAGTCCCACCCTGCAGACCCCCACAGCTCTCTGGAGTCTCTACTTGGGGTTACTGAGGATTACATAGCAGGGTCATGCTCCCTCCCTTACCCCACCCCATCCCCAAAAAACCCCGAGGCTGAGTGGAACACTGGCTGGCCCAGTGTGGACCAAGCCGCCCGCACACAGCTCAAGGATGGCCAAGCCCAGCCCTCCCGTCATCCAGGGCCACAAGCTCCAGCACCACGGCCCCACCCGGGCCTGGACGGCGGGTCATCAAGCCCAGGTATGTCATTTGTGTCACCTTTTGCTTCCTCTCCTGGTAAGGGCCTGAAGGCATGGCTCAAGTAGTAGAGTGCCTATCTGGCAAGTAGGAAGTCCTGAGTTTGAATCCCAGCGCTGCCAAGATGCAAGAGGAACAAGGCAGAGCTAGACCTCCCAAACAGCAGATGGAGAAAAGTGAGCTCTGGATCCAGGAAGAACCTCACCCCTAGCCTCCAGGATTCATGAGGGGAGGGGAGAGAATCCCAGGGGCCAGGGTGCATGAGCAGAGACAGCCTGGCCCTGTACTGGGCCTCCTAGGAGCTGTAACCATGAACCAGGCCATGTGCTCCAGAAAACCTCTTCCTAATGGAGAGACAGCAGGATGGAGACAGTGGACCTTCACCGTTGATCCGGGCAGGTATCCTGCAAACATCTTGCAAACTGAACTTCTGCTATGGTCCAGGCACTGTGCTAGCACACAGAGCAAGGCATGCTAACACGTAGGTATAAGTAGGAGCCACTGTGGTCACTGTCTTGCAAACAAACTATGCATTGCTCACTGCTGTTACGATCTGGGAGGGGTCTGAGACTGACTCCACGTGCAAGCTAGCAAGTCGGCTGACCACAGCCTTGGCCATGCTAGCCGGTGACACGAGCCTCAAAGGGCAGTAGCTTGACATCTGGAGCCAGAGTTGGCATTTTCCTGTACCAGCTCTTCCCAAAGCCCAGTGCAGAGATGCGCAATGTGTTCCTTGCATGACTTTCCTCTCCCTAAGCAATAATTAGGAACCTGAATCTTTTCTGACAAGGAGTAAACATGACTGTTCTTGTCTAGAGAGAGAGAAAGTAAGAGAGCAATCTATATTCACGATGCAGGCAGCCGCTGAAAGAATGTAAGCCAGGTGCTGATGGCTCACAGGGTAACTTGAGCTTCTCAGGAAGTTGAGATGGGAGGATCCCAGTTCAAAGCCAAAACTGCAAGCGGAGCTGTGGCTCAAGTGGTAGAGCTCCAGCCTTAAGCAAAAAAACCCCAAAAGGCTCAGGGACAGTGCGCAGGCTCTGAGTTCATGCCCCAGCACCGGCGCACGAAAATGATTGGGCTTTTTCATTTTTATTTTTAAAGTAATTCAGTCCCCAGGTCTCAACCGAACATAGAGACACAACGGCTAGGAGCAGTTCCAACTGTGATGACCTGGGGACTCCTGGAGGGGACAGTGGCAAAGCACAGGCCTCTCCTTCTCCAGACCCAAAGGCTCAGTGGCCAAGGGACAGCAAGACAAAATTCATCTCCAGCCATGGGGAAGGAGCCTGAGGTGCCGAGGCCTGGACAGCTTTGTGGCTGCCAGGTGACGGTGTGCTTCCCCCCCCCACACACCCCTCCACCCTGTCTGCAGGAACTAAATGAGATGGCACAGACCCAGCCTGCCTAGACTGCTCCACGGCTGCAGGCCCAAGAAATAAATGGTCCCATCAGCTGCTGAGGAGGTGAGCTCAGGATTTCATATGGAAATCAGAGGGAATGGAGCCCAGAACCAAGGCGCTCACGGCAAGGGGGACTGAAAATCTTCCACTGTAACGAAGCAGATGTCTGGATCTGTGCGAGGAGCACTGTGCTGACCTCAGGCATGGGGAACACGGGGAGGCAAAGGAGCTCAGGCCCAGGGCTCCCCGGGGGCCCTGCTCTGCTGGGATCCGTGGCTGTCGGAAGGGACCTGGCCGTGGCCGGCAGGTCCACTGCTTTCTTGTACCGCCCACCCCCAGTCTGCCCTCCCCTGGCCAGATGAGCCATCTGCTGAGCCATCCAACCCTGTGCCAAAGAAAGGAGGTGTCAAGCCTGATGCATTCTGAGAGGAGGGAGGCGATGACAGTCCCGGACTGACACAAAGCAGAGACGCGGCACCCCCTTCCCTCAGGGGAGCAAGGGAGACCAGAACAGACGGCCTGCGTCCTGCCAGACAGCCAGCATCCCGCTTGCAATCAGAGCCCTTGTTTTCCAGCTTTGTAATCCTGGGCAACTTATTGACTTCCATCTCCTTTCCTTGTCTTGAAAACAAGGGCAGTAATGGCCCCCGTGTGTGGGGTGAGTGTAGGCTAAACCTAAAAGCAGAGGGTGAGGGATGATTGTCTGCTACCTAGTAAATACCCCCATGTGAGCTTTTTGTGTTTATTTTCAGAAAGAGGGTTCGCCAGGCTGATCTAGACCTTCTGGGCCTAAAGGAACCTGCAGCCTCAGACTCTTAGAAGCTGGAACTACAGACCTGTGTTGTTCTGCCCGGCTTATGGTATTTTGCTTCACCATGCAGTCTGCCCTCTGGGTGGAGGGGACGGAGCTCCTGTCCATTCCCGAGGGGCAGAAGTGTGTGCCCTCCACAGAGCCAGCCGTCTGGCAGGGCTGCAGCAGGGGGAGCTGCACAGACCTTCTAGGCAAGCCTGCTGGTTACTGAAGTCCTAGGAAGCCAGAGTCTCACCCCAAGGGTTGTAGCCTTGGCGGGGAGCTGAGTGAAGGAGGTGGGCTTTCCCATGGACTGGGTGGACTGTCAGGACTAAGAAGAACCACGCACGCGTGTACACACAGCCCCCACTGGGAGGGCAGGTGGAGCAGAGAGCTTCAGCTCCCAGCGGTGCCCAGAGCTTCTGTCGGGAGGTGGCAGAGCAGCTCTGGGCAGGCGGTGTCAGGGGACAGCAGGGGGAAGGGCTCCTCTTCCGCCCCCAGCTCAGTGCCCGGCTCTGCTCCCCTGTGGTCTCCCCCAGGCCTGGAGACTTGGCTTTTGTACCCCACGCATTCACAAAGGTCCTTAAAGAAACAATGTAGTGAATGAGACCAAAGAACTAAATGCTGCAGATCACAGACCAGAGTGCCCGCCACACTTCCCACCCCCACCCCCCGGAATTGGGGAGGCCACTGGGGGCTGTGATGCGCCTGACACTCTTGGCCCTGGAGAGCCCAGGAAAAGTCCAGTGACTCAGCCTGAGAGCACCCGGGCAGGGAACCAGTGCACCACCTGTCAGCTCTCAGGGGAAAGCCAGATCATTCTAGAACTAGAGAACTTTTTCTTCCTGAGCTTCAAGGCTCAGAGCACCATGGGTCCTGTGTCCAGACACACAGCTAGACCAGAGCCCGGGTTCTTCAAATGCTTTTGGGACTTGAACTCAGGACCTGGGCCCTGTCCCTGAGCTTCTTTTGTTCAAGGCTCACACTCTACCACTTGGACTGTAGCACCTCTTCTGGGTTTTTCTGTGTGTGTGGTGCTGAGGAATTGAACCCAAGGCTTCGTGTGTGCTAGGCAAGCACTCTACCAACTAAGCCACACTTGCAGCCCAAGAATCCAGGTTCTTTTTGACAAACCCTAGGCTGGAAGCAGGATGCGAGCTGGGTGAAGCAACTGGGGTGCAAGCTTTAAGAGGCCACCAAAGAGTCTGGGGATGGGGACCAATAATACTTTGACCCCTTTTTTCATATAACTTGTTATTATCAAGGAGCTGTACAGAGGGGTTGCCCTTTCGTAAGTCAAGCAAGGAACACATTTCTTTTTGGACACTGTCACCCCTCCCTTCACTTTCCTCAGTTTCCCCCTCTTGTCCCTGCCCACAAGTTGCATAGATCATTTTTTTACATAGTGACGTAATATTTTTTAAATCAAAATTGGGGCAGAAAAAAAAATCCAGGATAAGTAAAATATCAAAATCTCTCAGCAGGATATAAATCAAAGTACCCCCTTGTGTGCTTCCTCCTCCGCGGCCCTGCTGGTTCCAGCCCGGCTCCCCGTCCCAAGTGATTACTGATGAGGTCCTGGATCCTGCGGAGCCTCATGGGAAAATGACTCCAGGCAGAGCTGGGCCAGGAGATCGCAGACACAAAACAAGGCCAGGGTTCCCAGAGCACAGAGACCCTAAGAGAACAGGAAGCACTTCCACCCCCCCACACCTCAGTCAGAGACCAGCATGCGCACCCCTGAGCCCCGCTGCCAGCAGATTAGACCCAAGCGAGGGCCGGCCAGCCCCCAAGCCCTTTAGAGCACTATTACACTCACTGCCATCTGTCTCAAGGCAGAGGGATCAAAGAAATCAGACCGCTCAGGATACCCTTCCTGCCTTGGGAAAGCAACCTAAGACTTGCTGACTGCTGGTGATGGATGGGAAGAAAACACACCCTTAAACCCCTGACAGTGACGCCCTTTTTAGGGTATGTCAACCAGGCAGCAATGCCAATCTCCTCCTGCCCCCAATATTTACCCCAGTTCATTTCTCAGGGAGAGCTTGGCGTTGGGCCCTGACAGACCTGAGTTCCCATCCTCCTTTGCCATCTACCATGCAACTCTAGGTCATTTGCCAAGATGACAAATCACCAATCTGGCTTGCAGGGAGGGGCCTAGTGGGAACTTAAACAGCATGATGTGGGCTGAGGGGCAAACCACGGGGACCACGGGGACCAGCCACCACGGGAGGGGCGCGGGGAAAGGCAGGGAGCACCTCCCACACACAAACACCAGTACAGTGCTCCAAAGGAGGTTGGCAAGATCACTGCCTAGTGTTCTGGAAGGCAAAAAGAAAAAAAAAAATTCTGTGAGGTCTCCTGATTTTTAAAGATTGACAGCTAATCTAAAAACGATTTAACCCGGTAGGTACAAATAAACCAAGACTGTGCCAGAACTTCCTGCTGTCCCTTGTATGCCTCTGACAGCTACAAACCACCCAGCAGCCACCTGGCGCTGGTGCCAGAAGGCATCAGGGGCTGTGTCCACATCTATGGTAGGGGAGAGGAGAGGAGGGGAGCGGTGGGAAGGAGAGGGGTGGAGAGGGGGGGAGGGGAAGGGGGAGGGGAGGGGGGAGGGGGGAAGTTCCTCAGCAAGGAAATGAAGAAGAGTGTAAATCTGGAAGGCTCGAAAGGAGGGAGGGACTGCGGAGGGAATTCCTTAAAAGGATTTAGAAGATTTTATTGGACATAGTTGAGCCCTGGCAGGGAGAGGGTCAGGGAGGGGTGCAGCCATTCTGTCTACGCTCCCCCCAATAGGTGATGAGGTAGTGCCCTGTTCCCTCGGGGACAGCTTCTATGCTGGAGGGCCTTTGGGGGTCCCTCTGATCCAGCACACGACCACCACGTGCCCTGAGCACCCAGGAGATCTGCTAGCCAGACACACCTGAAGGTTCAGGCCTTCAAAGTGTGACATCCCTGCCCCCAAACCAGTGTATCTGAATCAACAGAGAACTTGCTGGAAGGGTTCCACCTCAGGCCTGAGGAATGGTCAGTTCCAGTGCCCAAAGGAACACTTGGGAACCCTCTGCCACATCCGGAGCTTTCTGTCTTCCGGGAGGACAGCAGTCTGACCCCAAGATGATCCCCCCCTGTCCCCTCAAAGGACCAGTCCCTCCCACAGCGATGCTGCGGCAGAACGGGGATGTGGGGAGCCCTGATGGAGCGGCCGGCTGAGCCCTGGTCCTGGTGGAGCCGGGGCTTCAGCCTCAGGGCAAATGATGCCTCCAGAGGCCGCTGACCAGGCACAAGGACCCACCAGGCTCCCGCCGCGGGCTCTAGCCAGCTCCTCCCACAAGCCTTTTCGCCCCCCAAGCCAGGATCCGCTCTAGACGAGTTCCTCCTGACTCAGAGCCCAGCGTCCAGTGCTCACCATCCTTCTAAGAGGTGTCTGCCCGGCTGCCTCCCCTCTGCCGGCCGCTGCGCCCCTGACCACAGCCTGCGCCGTGGCAGCGTCTCTCCCCGGCTCGCCTCTGCCCAGCCCAGGGCAAGTTCCTCCAGGCAGGTCCTTGCCCATCTGTCTTCACGAAGGAAGAGCCACCTAGCCACCTGGCCGGCTTCTGCCGCGCGTCCTCTCTTGGGTCGCTGATGGCGGAGCAAGGCAGCAGACCCCCAGGAAGAGGGGAGAAGGCGCAGGGCGGGGGGGGGGGGGGGGGGGGGGGAAGCTGGCTTCTGCCGGTGGGGACATAGCCCGGGCCGAGCGGGCAGTACGGGGCACCACGCCTGTGTCCCCGGGACAGGCCGGGAGATGGCAGCCTGGACCCCGTTCCAGTGTCCACCCGGGTCCCGCCCGGGCCGCGTGGATCCGCACACGTGCCGCCCCTGAGGAGTTGACAGGACACCTGCAGGGCCGTCCCGCACGCCCGAGGCGCCGGGCCGCGGCGCTGGGGACGAGGCGCGCGTGGGCCCGGGCCGGTGGCGGGGGGCGCGCACGACCACCGCGCGCGGGACGGCGCGGGCCCGGGGCTGGGGGCGGCGGGACGGGCGGGGACCGGGACGGCGGAGGAAGGGGAGCCGGCGCGGGCCGTCCGGGGTCGGGGTCGGGGTCGGGGTCGGGGCGCGCCGGTGCCCGGAGCCGGGGACGCCGCCGCGGCCCGGTGCGCGCAGCGGGGAGGACCCGCGCCGCGCCCGCCCGCCCTCTCCGCCCCGAGCGCAGTCCCCGCCCGCCGTCCCGCCCCCTCCCGCCCTCCTCCCGCCTTCCGCCCCGCCCCCTCCCGCCCTCCTCCCGCCTTCCGTCCCGCCCCCTCCCTCGCAGGCCGGCGCGCCGCGCTCCCGGCGCACTCGCAGCCCTGTGGGGACCCGAGGCGGAGGCGGGACGGCCCCGGGTCCGAGTGCGGGAGCTGAGCCGGCCCCCGGGGCCCAGGTCGGGCGGCCGCCCGGGGAGGCCGAGCGGGCGCCCCCGGCGGCTTCCGGGCCCCCATCGCGCCCTCGTCCGGGACCCGCGGATCCCGCGGGGACGAAGCTGCCGCCCGGCCGGCTCCGGGCGCCGGGGACGCGGCGACGGGAACTTGAGGTGGGAACTTCGCGCGCGGCGGCCTGGCCGGACCCCGCGCCGCACGCCGGGGCTCGGGGAGCCGCACGTGGCCCCGGCCCCTCCCGGGGGGTCCGCGGAAACGCCGAGCGAGGGGCGTCCGCGCCCGGCTGACCGGGGCGGGGCGTCCCGCCGGCGGGCGGCGGCCTCTCCAGCCCGAACCCCGGGTGGAGCCCGGCGGGGTGCAGGGGCGTCCGCCGCTCGCCCCTTCCCAGCGCCCCGAGGCGCCGATGGCGCACCCCACCCGCGGGCCTCAGGGAGCCGTTCACTATGAACTCGGACGCATTTATTGAGCACCTCTGGTGTACTTGAACGGCCACCGACCGCGCCCCAGCGGAGCCCGGGGCCCCCACGCCCGAGGGGCGCACGCGGCGCTCCGGAGCCTTCCGGTGGGGAAGGAAAGAGCGGAGTTCGTGCATTCCTGGGATTGGCTGAGCACCTGGTGTGGGCAGCTCACTGCAGCAAACGCTCGACAGCCGCGTATTCATTCAACAAACATTTATTGCCACCAGGCTGGGGCTGGGCAGGGGACGGCGAGCCCCGGGGCGGGCTGAGACTGGGCCGGAGGGTCGGGGTGGCTTAGGGAGACGTGGGGGGCTAAGGCAGCCCCAGGGAGGTCAGGCTGGTTTGGGCTACCCCCGGACACCCCATGCGGGTGGATCTAATGCGTTCCTTGTGGTGTGTGTTGGGGGTTAGACAGGAATAAGGGGACCCAAAAGCTCCATCAGGGAGGGCGGGCCTGGGTGCTGGGGCACACTGATTTAAGGTTACTTACTGCCAGGTGCAGGCGCTCACCAGTGGGGTTGATTTGCAAAGCTGTGCATTCAGCAGGCATTTTCTTAAGCACTTCAGGGGTGCCATGCACCAAAGCCCCCCCCCCCCCAAGCTGGATGATGGGAGGGAGACAGTGGTGTAGATATCTCCTTCTCTGACATCCTGAGCTGAGGAGAAAGGACCCACAGAAGCGGGTCTGACTCACTGCGGGAGGGCGGGAGCAGAAGGGAGTTGGCCAGGTGCGTTCCAAGCCCTTTCACCTGCGGGCACCGCGGGGAGCCTCACCAGGGGTGCCTGCCAGCCGGGGATGGGGCCGGGGGCCTTTGTGGGCTCGTGGCCAGGACACACCCTCTTTCCTGGGTGAGTTTCCCCAGCCCAGAGAGGCCAGATCTCTACCTTGGGCGCCTGGCCGCGGGGAGGGGGGGGGCTTTGGAGAGACAGCACTGAGCGGGAGGCAGGCGAGAGGCGGCCCCGGGGACCGCTCTTCTCCATCGTGCTGTAAGCCAGCTCGTTCCAGTGGAAAGATGTCTGTCGTGGGACATGCGCCAAGCCCACAGGGAACTGTGAGTGCGCTGGAAGGCAGGCAAGCCCAGTTGTCTCCTTCTGAAACTGGGGGGGGGGGGGGGGGGGGAGGGCCTGGGCTGTGGGGGCTGCGAGTCTGCTGGGGGCAGATCGGAGGGCCCCTTTACATGTGCTGCACCTGACAGGTAGCTGGGCTGGGGCAGGCACGCCCCTCCCCCCAACAGAAGGGCCAAGGGCTGTGCCCTGGCCACAGGGGTCCAGAGGCTTTGCCGGGGACTAAGGAAGCCCCTCCCCAGCCCCGGGAGGGGGTCTTGACCTTGTCCTTTCCCCCACCCCTCTGTCCTCGCGGAGAGGTTTTTGTCTGAAGACATGTGGTAGAGCGCTGGCTTAGCAGGTGTGAGGCCCTGGGTTCAGTTCCTAGTACTGGGGTGAAAAAAAGGATTTTTTTTTTAAAGAGTTTGTATTTCCAGTTGCCAGAAGTATAGGGATCTGGGAATTCATTTGTTCGTTCGGCCCAGAAATGGAGCCCTTGGGGGTAACATGGTGGCTGGTACGGCCCCTCTAAATAGAATTAGTAAAAAATAAAAGAGGCCAGAAAGAGTCTGTCAGCAAGTGTTCCGTCACAGTTGGCCATTTTTATTACCTCACAGACGGACCTGGATGAGCAGCGTCCGCGATGGCAGTGGATTTGCTGAGGCCTGGCTGGGGGGGGGGGGGGGGGGGCGGTGTGCCAGGGCTGTTCCTGTGCCCTGGTGACCTTTGCCACATGCCTGTCCCTCTCCAGATAGGCCCTGGTCTCCCTCTTCAGAGGTGTAGCAGCAGGTAACCCCCCCTTCCTGCTGCCCCAAGAAACCGGCCGCTCCCCAGGTCTGCACCCCTGATTTTAAGCCTGTGTGCTCGCTCTCATTTTCTGGCTGTGGGAAAGGTGTTCCAGCCCCGGCACCTGCCGAAGGCAGACGTGAGTTGGGTGTCATTTTGCCAGTAGTGCAGGAGGCAGCTTGTCTTTTTGTAGAGAAGGCTCTTCTGGCACGTTCTCTCATTTGCGGGAAGGAGGAATAGAGGCCCCCTCAGACTTCAGAGTGTGAGACCGGGGTCCGGGGGGACTGCGTGGTGGTGAGGATGGATGGCAGGTGGCAAAGCCACAGTCCCCAGGCAGGTTCGGACTGGGAGATCCAGCCTGCCAGGCTCTGGATGAGCTAATGGCCAGAACAGTTTTGATGAACGAGTTAATTGGGGTTAAAGGCAGCATGACCAGCCTGAGTCAGCCCAGCCAGGAGCCCTCATCCTGACAGATGAACCAGCAGGGAAACTAGGCCCACGCAAGGCCAGGGAAGAACCGCATGGAGTGAAATGGAGGGGTCTCCAACACCCCCTGCTCCGAGTTAGGAGTGGCACAGCCGAGAAGCAGAAGCCAAGGCCCAGCGGACTCAGGAAGGAAATGCTTTTCTTCTAGAACGTGGCTTTGGGTGGTATGACTTTCCCGTGTTTATGTATTAGCATATTATTGTACCTTAAAGCATCTCCAACTTATCTTACGGTATCTGGAGACATCCCAGGTGGATCTCTGGGCTACACCCAGGGGCCGCCAGAAGAGAATCCATTCGGGCCATCTCCAGCTTCCAGAGGCTGCCTGCATTCCCTGGCTTGTGGCCCCGCATCGCTCCGTCATCTGCTTCCTTTGCCCGGTGTCCTTCCCACAGCCTCTGATGGCCAGGCTGAATTTGACAAAGCCAGGGATTCTGTTGGTTTTTCTGTGGTGCTTTATGGCAAGTCTCACAGGGATGACAATACTTCCCCAGCCATAGGCAAGCCTGCTTCTCACCCCCTCCTCCCAAGGCCTTTCCAGAAGCTTGTCTATAGACTGGAGAGACTAGACCCAGCCCCTGGAGCAGTGTGGGGGGCGGGGGGAGGGTGGAAGAACCACCCATCAGGAGATCCGAGGGGCTGCAGGGTGTGGTTTGGATTCTGAGCTCATTGTTTTTCCCCTGTTCATGTCTTGGAGCCTCAGCGTCCTGTGTACAGTGGAGGTATTTGTGCTATTGCCTGGCTTTACACTGTCCCAGTCCAGGCTCCTTTTGCAGAGTGTGGCCAGGGAGGCTGTGGACCCTGCTTAGCGCTCACTCTGCATCCTTGAATGTGGAAGAGGGGCTGAGGGCCCCTCAGACGGGACCAGCAGAGGCAAGGGGCCAGAGAGGCCAGCGGCTTATTGAAAGAGGCCCATGATGGTCAGGCTCACTGATTGGCAGTTGCGGGAAACTTTTTGTGTCCTTCATAGTCGTGGTGTGGGATGGAATCAGGTGTGTGAGTATGGGGGGAAGGGAAGGGGGGGTTGAATTCAGTGCCTTGGAGCTGACCATTAGCTTTTTGTTCTACCGCTTGAGTCACAGTTCCACTTCTGGCTATTGGCTGCTGAACTGGAGATAAGAGTGTCATGGACTTTCCTGCCCAGACTAGCTTTGAATGGTGATTCTCAGATCTCAGCCCTCTGAGTAGCTGGGATCCCAGGCGTGAGCTGCCAGGCGCCCTGTAGTGGCTTCTTACCGAGACTGTATGGAGCTTAGAGCTGGGAAAGGCTGGCTCCGGTTGAGTCACTGGCTCCTCCGGTCAGCACCAGACATGGCCAGCCCAGCCTGGCTTAGACTCTCGTCCCTTGGGGCCTCCTGGCCCTCCGTCACGCCCTGAGCCCAGGATGGGGCCTCCGCTCAGTGATGCTTTACAGTTCAGGGGTGAAGAACCTTTATTCTACCAAGGGCCATTTACATGTTCATAACATCACTCGCAGGCCATAGGAAACGGGCGGCCACAGGCAGCCTGCGAGAAGCACAGGGGACACTCACGGTCTGTCCGTCACGTACCTGGTGATTCTAGAGCCTTAGGAGGCGGGATGTCCCCCCCCCCCCCCCCCCGATTTTGTCTTCAGAAACGTGTTCTCCACCTAGCCTGAATCCCGGCGTGTGAGCACCAGCTTTGTTCCAGGAGGGGGGACGTGGCCTGAGGGCAGGGAGGTCTGAACGTGATCCAGGGGACCCCACTGTAGACAGTGTTTCTGGCAACGTTAGAAGGGTTTCCACTTCTCCGGGGAAGCAGGACCCCACAGCCCTGCTGGCTCCCGCAGGGGCCTGAGCAGAGGGCCAGCGAGCGCCTGCCGAAGCCCAGGCGGCCCCTCGAGAGTGTCCAGGCACAGGTGGTGTCCCCTCCTCGGCTCCTTTCCCCTCTCCTCCCTCCCCTCCTCTCCTCTCCACCCTCTCATAAAGTTGATGCTAGGAACTGCTTGTCTGGCACAGCTGAGCCCTGGGCAGTTTGTGAGCACCCAGGGCGTTAGGGAAGCCAGGGCTTCTCCATTTTAACCTAGTTAAGCAGTTATGAGACCTACAGGTCTACCTCAGCGCTGCTGCTCCTCTTCCTCTTTTTCCTCTTCCTTGACCTGGGCAGGCTGACTTGCCTTACGCATTTTCCCTCTTGGTCCAGTCCCCCTTTTCTGACCTTGTAGGGACTGCCCATATGGTTTGATAGGGACCCTTAACTGTGTCTGAGCCTTTCTGACGTGTGTGACGTGTGCATTCATTTATGTAAATAGTGCAGTGCTGTAAACTGCCTCTCCGCTCGGCTCCATGCTTTGCATGTGTGGCTGAGCCCACAGCTCATCCATGGCTTGCTTCCCAAGCAAGCTGCAGCCTCTGCCCTCTGCACCTAGCAGTCCAGTGGGGAGGCCAGGGGAGACCAGGGCCCCTAACCAAGCCACACAGGACAGTACCTTGTCCTAAGATCATATAAATCCAAGAAGCAAACCTGCATTCGAGATTCCAGTGCAGGAGCCAGAAGCCTGCTCGTGCCTGTAATCCTAGCTACTAAGGAGGCCAAGATCCGAGGATCACAGTTTAAAGCCAGCCTGGGCAGGAAAATCCCCAAGACTCTTATCACCAGTTAACCAGCAAAAAGCCATAAGAAGGGCTGCACCTTAAGTGGTAGAACACCAGGCTTCCATGGTAAAGCTCAGGGTCAGTGCCTAGGCCCTGAGTTCAAGCCCCAGTACTGGTACAAAAATTAAAAAAAAAAAAGAATGTGTCTTTCAGCTTCTGGTTGCAGGTCTGGGGAGCAAAGCCGGGAGTGGGGTTCTGGGGGTCACAGAGCAACAGTGAGCTTCATTATGCTCAGCAGTGCTCCGTGGCTTCCCGGAGGACCACCCAGCCTGAGCTCCCTCCAGCCCTGAGGTTCAAACCCCAGTGGGGCGGGGACAGCGTGTTCGTGTGGGTAGGAGGATGACGTCACAGCTAAGTCTAACGTCACAGCTGCACGTGGAGGGTAAATCGGTGACGGGCCGGGGCCTTCTGCCTTTTGTCTTTGCTGTAACTCAGGAGGAGGAAACCAAACCCAAAGGTGGAGCCACTGACCTTGAACCAGGGCTCCTGATTTCACAAGGGGAGGGGGAGGGCTCCTCTCCAGCGGAGTCCCCCCCTCCCCCCGCCCCCAGCCAGCCCCAAACCAAGCAGATGAGGCAACCGCATGGATGAACTTACCATTCTAGAGCTTCCACCGGGGGCTGGCTTAGCTGAAATCAGGGCTGGGCCAGGCTGGGCCCCATTTTGAAGGCCTGTCTTCCCAGTCTTCGGAACCCAACCCCACCCTGCTTCCTTCCTGCCCCTTCCCCCACGCTCAGAACCCACATCCAGTCTCCCCCTTCCCCCCCCCCCCCCCACCGCCATGTCCCTGGCTCTCTCCTCTACCCCTCACATACACGGATCGCTGCGGTGACACGGAGCCCACACAGAACATTCCTGAACTTGGTATCAGCTGATTAGCTGATGTCAACCCCACCAGTGATTACCCAGTGCCATCTCACTAGTGTGACAGTCACAGACCCCAAGGATGGAGACACCACTGGGGGGCCCATCCTGCCTACCATACCATCCAGGTGGTGCCTGTGCACGCACGCGCGCGCACACACACACACACACACACACACACACACACACACACACACACACGTCATCTGTGATTGGCCCATGCTGGCCATGGAAGATACTCCATCCTTACCCTTCCCTGGATTTGGCTTCGTCCTCCTCTGTCCATCATCCCACAGCCAGGAAGTGCTCCCTCTCACGCATGCTCATCACAGCGCCACCTACCTGTCTCCTCAGTAAATGGCACCACAGAAAATGCCACAGCACCCTCCATCCATCCGCAAGTCCAGTGGCTTTTCTTCCAGGAGAATTCCAAAGGTCACCCAGCCCTCTTTCCTCTCCACCTGTGCCCAGAATGTCTGCCACCATCTCCAAGTGAAATACCAGCCTTCCTCCCTCCCCCCCTCTTTCCTTCCCTAGCTCTGCCCTGCCAGCTCTCCTGCTCCTTGTCTTGTCTACTCTCAAGATAGTACCTGGATTCTTCTGTCTCCTCTACCTGCAGACATCACCCTGGGAATCAGTAGCCTGGACCCTTCCACCCATGAGGCTCCACACCCCCTCCCCTGACAAGCCTCCCCCCCCCACCAGTGTGGCTCCCAAAGCCCTCCCCCAGAATGAGAGGGCTCAGGCTGCAACAGGAGAGACCTGAGGTCCTTGAACAGTGTAGCTGGCTGCGTGGTGACGGCAGCATTGTGTCTCCCAGCCAGCGAGGTCTGTTTGATTGGTGGACTTGACTGGAGTCTAGAATTCCAAACCGTCCTCCACAGTCATCCTCCATACACCATCCTCCACACACTGTCCTCCACAGCCCCTAGATCATCCCATCTGATCTCACAGATGGAGAAAGGGACCCACTCCTCATCCAGCAAACTCCAGCTTCTCCCTGCCAGGGCCTCTGTCCTGCAGATTCCCCGTCCCCTGTGCAAAGCAGCCTGCTGGGAAGAGCTGTCTGCCCGTGGGGAGGCCGTGGGGGTGGGGAGACAGCAGAGGCCTTGGGAGGGATGTGGGGGGAAAGGAGCAAAGGCTTGGGGGAGGGGGAGACCAGCCGCCTCCCGGCCCAAGCAGCAGGACTGTGGGAAGGCGACCCCTGGAGAGCGGAGGTGGTAGGATCTCAGCGCAGCCCTGGGGCTGGGGCGGCTTCTGTGTCATTCTTGCTAATCTGTCATTTTGCTCTTGTCTTTGGTGGCAAGAATAAAGCTGGAAGGGGACGAGGCTGGGTGTGATGCACTCCAGAGGGTTGATTCCCACGCCCCAGGTGCCTGGCAGGCTTTGCCTGGGGAGGTCAGGAACGCAAAACCCCCACGGTGTGTATCCCAAACACGGGTGCGCCCCCGTGTTCCAAAGCCCGCTCTGTGAAATGTTAGCTCTCTTCAACCATGAGTGGAGAGCTGACAGACTTCTGTGATGTGATTCCTGCTGGGGGCCCCCTCCAGGGGGTCCCACAGCCTGGCTCCTGTCAGGCCGCTTCACCCCTGCAGAGGGTGGGGGTGTAGTGGACAGCGATGGCCACTTGGAACTGCCCTGCTCGCTTCGGTGGGGGGGTCGGGCAGGGGGAAGGACGGTGATTATAAAATGCGCAGTCGTTGAAGCTTACCGCCGTCTCCGAGATGGCTGATTCCCCAGCGCTCTGCTGGGTCACCCGGAGGCCCGGCTCGAATGCCCGCAGGGCAGGGAAAGAAGCGCTCTCGAGTGGAGTGGGCGTCCGGGAGGAGTGGGGTTCTGCAGGGGACAGCCATTTCGCAGTTGGAATTTGGACCCAGTGTTGTCAGATATTCGGATTTTTTTTTTTCAAGAGAAGCCAAGAATATGGATTTTTTTTTTTACATGAAATTTCTCAATTTGCAGAAACTTCTTTAAGCCAAGCAAAATATTCCTGAACCGAGCTCAGCTTGTGAGCTGGTACTGAATAAACAGTCTCTCCTCAGCAGCGCAAACCCTTGGCTTTGAGGGCTGACAGGGAGGAGTCTGTGCAAGCTGGCAGTTTGGCCTCAGTTTCCCAGAAGTGCCTGTCATCTAGTGCTCCTTGGCAGGAGACCTACCCGGTGGGCAAGCCTGTCTCTGCGCAGGGTCTCGGGGATGAGGGAGAACCTGTGCGTCCCCAGGCAGCAGCCTTCTGCAGGGGCCAGAGCCACGCACCAGTGGTCGAGGGAAGGGCAGGGAGCTAGCTGGAAGGGCCAAAGGCTTCCAGGAGGCGGGAGTGCAGCTGGGCCCCCACCACTGTGAGTCACGAGGCGGCCCCGGCTGGCGCATGTGCAGACCTGTCTTCACAGGGCGCGTCTCTGTCCACTGCCTCCTGCCTCTGGTACTTGGTGTCTGTCTCCCATTTCTGGAGCCAGTCCAAAGGGTCCCTTGAAGATGAGTACCGAGCCAGGCGTTGGAAGCCGAGGAACTGGCCATTCACTCACCCGTTCATCCCTGAGTCTGGGGACAGGTGAAAGAGCGAGATGGCCTGGCCTGGCCTCCGGGGAGGGGGGCACTCCAGGGGAGTCAGTGTCCAAGTAAATGCACCCCAGCGTCAGCCCTGCGATGGGTCGGAACAAGGTGGGAGTGAGTGGCTTGGGCTTTGGGGGCTGCATTGGTGGGGGAGGGGCTGGGGAGGGCTTGGCAGAGGAGGGACGTGGGCAGAGCCTGGGGGGGGGGGGAGGGGCCAGGTCTGAAGGTTGGGACAGCAAGAACTTAATCCCCTAACAGGGTCTGGTGGCTCACACCTGTAATCAATCCTAGTCCCTCAGGAGGTTGAGATCAGAGGATCACAGTTCAAAGCCAGCTCGGGCAGAGAAGTCTGTGAGACTCTTCTCTCTTAGGAAACCAGCCAAAAGCCACAAGTGGAGGTGTGACTCAAGTGGTAGAGCATTAGCCTTGAGCAAAAAAAAGCTCAGGGATAGCACTGTGAGGCTGAGATCTGAGGATGACAGTTTGAAGCCAGCTTGGGCAGGAAAGTCTATGAGACCCTATCTCCATCAAAAAGCTGTAAGTTGAGTTGTGGCTTAAGTGGTAGAGCGTGATTCAAGCCCCAGTATGTCACACACACACACACACACACACATACACACACACTTTGATTCCCGACTTCAGAGTGGCTTAGATAGTAGAAAGGAAGAGCCTGGCTGAGGCTTGGGGTCACACGGGGTCTGTCTTGCCCTTCTCTCCCCCTTGCCCCCGCCCCAGGCCCTCCAGGGATGTGAAGCCCCAAAATGACCCTGTTACCGGGAGACAACTCTGACTACGACTACAGCGCCCTGAGCTGCACCTCGGACGCCACCTTCCACCCGGCCTTCTTCCCGCCGCGCCAGGCCATCAAGGGCGCCTTCTACCGGCGCGCGCAGCGGCTGCGGCCGCAGGACGGACCCCCACCCGGGGACCGCCGCCGGCAGATCATCATCAACGTGGGCGGCATCAAGTACTCGCTGCCCTGGACCACGCTGGACGAGTTCCCGCTGACGCGTCTGGGCCAGCTCAAGGCCTGCACCAACTTCGACGACATCCTCAGCGTGTGCGACGACTACGACGTCACCTGCAACGAGTTCTTCTTCGACCGCAACCCCGGGGCCTTCGGCACCATCCTCACCTTCCTGCGGGCGGGCAAGCTGCGGCTGCTCAGGGAGATGTGCGCCCTGTCATTCCAGGAGGAGCTGCTCTACTGGGGCATCGCCGAGGACCACTTGGACGGCTGCTGCAAGCGCCGCTACCTGCAGAAGATCGAGGAGTTCGCCGAGATGGTGGAACGGGAGGAGGAGGAGGAGGAGGATGAGGAGCCGCTGGACAGCGACGGCCGGGACAGCCAGGGCCCCGCGGGGAGCCAGGGCCGCCTGGGCCGCTGCATGCAGACCCTGCGCGACATGGTGGAGAGGCCGCACTCGGGGCTGCCCGGCAAGGTGTTCGCCTGCCTGTCCGTGCTCTTTGTCACGGTCACCGCCATCAACCTGTCCGTCAGCACCTTGCCCAGCCTGCGGGAGGAGGAGGAGCAGGTAGGATGCCGACTCTGGATGAGGGAAGGGTCCCTGGGCGCCGGGAACAGGGCAGTCTGCACACCAGCCGCCCATCCTCGGTGCCACCTCCTCCGGGAGGTCTTCCCTGACTGCACACTGGCTGAACCATGGGGTCAGTGTGTTAAGAGTGTGTGTTGACCACCTCCTTTGGTCTGTTTGTGCTGGTGCTGGGTCTTGAACTCAAGGCCTGACTCTCATCTTTTCCACTGGAGCCACGTCTCCAGTCCAGCTTTATTGCTGATTCATTGGAGGTAAGTAGTCTCCTGGGCTTTCCTACCCGGGCTGGCCTCAAACCTCAAGCCTCACATCTCAGTCTCCTGCACAGCTAGGATGACCATCCACCAGCACCAGGCCATCTTCTGAGTCTTGAACGCGACTCTCATCCAGAAGTGAGGAGGCGTGTGTGGTGCTGAGGATAAGATCTGTGGAAGGCTTCACCCCAGGCCTGACACAGGAAAAGCTGCCTCGGGCCCCAGCAGGCCCAGGCTGCCAGGGGCTGCCTGCAGCTCTGCCCTCATCTTTTCTCCTCAAATCCTCCAGCACCCCTGTGGTGTGTCATTCTCTTGCCCTCTTGATAGATGCACACGCTGTGGCAGACCGAGCAGGCCCGGTGTTTCTACTCTGTATTCTTCTGCCTGGGGATGGGGAGATTCCCCCAATCCCCCACCCCCACCCCCCGGCCACACAACACTGCCTGTGGCTCCCATAGGAAGATGCACCCTCAGCCTCTCAGAAGGAGAGGGTAGCTCCTGCCATCACCCCGCACCAAAGCCTTTGGTAGAAGTCAATTCCACAGGAGGTAGGGATGCCCCATTACACCCTCCTGGTAGATGAGTCCCCAGACTTTGGACTTTGAGTTGTAACTCTTCCCTACCCCCTTTGCATGGGGTTCTGGGAGGAAGTTTAAAAAAACAATGAGATCTCAGGTACAAATTCAGGGCAGTAGGCATTTGAGAAATAATAGAGTGAACCCAACACATGTTCAAAGCCATCCAGCATTTATTGAGTACCGAGTGTTCAGAGCCATCCGAGTGCATGCCCTGAAGGTGCTAAGTTCTTTTGGCATGCGCACGGTGGCTTGGCATTCTTAAGTGCTCACCATGGGCGGGGCCTGGCCTCGCACCAGGTGTGTAGAGGCCGGGACTGAGCCAGGCCAGCCCGGGCTGCATAGTGAGACATCGCCTGGAAGAGCAGCAACACACTCCCTCCCCATGGGCGGGGACAGCCACGGAGGACGGCTGGCACTTTTTATCCACTGAATTTTTTACAAAGGTATTAAACAGCACTCAGCCAACAAAATTAATGTTTGATAAGCGGAGGGGGCCGGGGGCCATGCTAGGGAAGGAAGGAGGAGCCCAGCGGCCTCCATTCCCATCCCCGCCGCCCCACCTCCCTGCCTCCCCCCTCCCCCATCCTCAGCTCCCACCAGCGGGAGGCTGGGGCAAAGCTCCACCTGTCTGTGCCTCAGTTTCTTCATCTGCCCTGGGCCCGTGACAGTGCTGTGGATACTCGAGTCTATGTGAAGGGGTGCACAGGGCTTACACAACCGGCCAGGGAGAAAGTGGAGGGGGACAGAAGGCCACGGAGCGAGCTCACCATGTCAGACCAGAGAAGTCCCTGGACTTCCTACAGATTCTCTTCAGCTTCGGATGCTCTAATTTTATCAGGAAAATAGCAGTAAAGCCCTTTGTGTTCAACTTCTGATACTGCTTATTGTTTGGGGATTTTAATGTTGATTGTTGTGTTGTTTTGTTTTTGCTTTTTGGGTTTTGTTTTCTTGGTGCCAGTCCTGGGCTGTGAACTCAGGTCCTGGGTGCTGCCCCTGAGTTTATTTTGCTCAAGGCTAACACTCTGCTACTTGAGCCACAGCTCCTCTTCTTGGTTTTTTGGTAGTTTAATAGAGATAAGAATCTCACAGACCGGGCTGGGAAGGTGGCTCAGTGGTAGAGCACTTGCCTTGCATGCCTGAGGCCCTGGGTTCGATTCCTCAGCACCACATAAGCAAAAAGAAAAAAGCCAGAAGTGGCGCTGTGGCTCAAGTGGTAGAGCACTAGCCTTAAGCTGAAGAGCTGAGGGACAGTGCCCAGGCCCTGAGTTCAGGCCCCACGATCGGACCCCCAAAAAATCTCACAGACTTTCTTGCCTGGGTTGGCTTCGAACCATGATCCTCAGATCTCAGCCTCCTGAGTAGCTAGGATAACAGGCATGAGCCACCAGTGCCCGGCTTGTTGTTTTTTTTTGGGGGGGGGCTGATGGGGGAGGTTTGGGGACCATGGTGTGGATGGAAGGCCTCTGTGCTAGGAAAGTGTCGAGGTGGGCGTTTTTAATATGACTTGGTGAATTGCTCTTCAGGCTCATTTTGGGGGAGGGACGGGAGGGTTCACTCTTCTACTTGCTCCTGCGTGTGCACATTTGGGCACCTGCTGCATGCAGGCTCTGTAGGGGAGACAGGTGACCAGACAAGATCGGGCTTCAAGTCTTTCTGGGGTGGGGTGAGGAGCAGCACCCTCGCAGGACCAGGAGGCTGTGTGTGAGAGCGTGGGCATCGGGGCTCCTCAGAGGGGTGCCCGGAGGCTGCCTGGAGGGGCTTCCTGCCCCAGAGGTCTGAGACCTCGCAGGCCCAGCCAAATGGCTCACATCACCAGCCTTTAGCATATTCCTAGAGCGAGACCAGACAGAGCCTGACCTTGAGAATCCAGCTGTTCCGAGAGCCACGAGATGCCGGGCTGGGACCTTCGTCTCTGTCCTCTCTGTCCTCTGGGAAGATGGGGTCCAGGCGATGGGAGACAGTTACCCTGTCTCAGGCCCCCAGTCGCCCTACAGGCCAGCGCGTCTGCGTCCAGGCCCAGAGCAGCTTTTCTTCCATCTGTGCAGTCAGCATTTAAATCAACTCCGGGCTAGTTAATGAAAGAGGCTCAGCCAGGGCTTCCCCATAAAACTGCAGGTTCCCAAGGTCTCTGGGAAGCTCCCCAAAGCAGCCTGGCTTGAATCCCTGGCGGCAGAGATCAGCATCCTCTGTATCCCCTCCCCCCCACCTCACCTCCCCAGCGGCATTGCCCGCCTGGCCCATGACAGCTTTGTGTTCCCTTCCCGTACCCCTCTAAATGTCATCCCTGAGACAGCCTGCCAGGGGCGGGGCCTCTCTGGGCACGGAGGTGGGTGGGGCTTTTCTGAGTAATGCGGCTCTGCCCTCAGGGGTTGTAATCTCCCAGAGAGGGGACTCTCCTAAGGCCTGTGCAGAGAGGAGCTGACACTGCAGGAGAAGGGAACTGGAGTGCAAGCAAATGGGATTCTGCAAGCAGGGAGTTCACAGGTCTGTCTGAGAAGCTGCTGCTCCAGCAAAGAGCCGGAGGAGGGAAGGCAGGAGTGGGTACTGAGGGAGGAGGATCTGACGGGAGGCGCCAAGTCCCAGGCCGGGACAGGGCAGAGGCATGCTGAGGACAGGGCTGGGCGGGTCCCGGGGTTCCATGAAGAGCAGTAGAGGGGAAGATGGAAGAAACAGAGGCCCGGGGCGGGCGGGCTCCCACGTCCCCACCACTAGAGGAACGACGTTCAGCAGCTCAGGAGAGGAACCACAGGCAGGAGCAACCAGGGGCCCCTTCTGGACATGATCGGGTTCCAGCACCAGGCGGTGCTAGGAGCCAGAGCAGCAGCTGTGGGGGAGGGGGCCTGAGGTCAGACCTGGAGAGAAATGAGGCCTACAGAAGACCCCGTTCAGGGGCTGGGAATGTGGCTTAGCGGTAGAGTGCTGGCCTAGTATGCATGAAGCCCTGGGTTCGATTCCTCAGTGCCACATACACAGAAAAAGCCAGAAGTGGTGCTGTGGCTCAAGTGGTAGAGTGCTAACCTTGAGCAAAAGAAGCTCAGAGACAGTGCCCAGGCCCTGAGTTCAAGCCCCAGGACTGGCAAGAGGGACAGACAGACCAACAGACAAACCCTGTTCACACTGGGGAAAGGGAGTGACAAAGCTGAGCCCAGGGCCTGGTAAGATGGGGAGCAGGCAGGCCAGGCCCGGGTCCCCACTCTTGGTGGCCCCTCCCTGAGGGGACTTGTCCCTCTTCCCCAGGGCCAGTGCTCGGAGATGTGCCACAATGTGTTCATCGTGGAGTCGGTGTGCGTGGGCTGGTTCTCCCTGGAATTCCTCCTGCGCTTCATCCAGGCGCCCAGCAAGTTCGCGTTCCTGCGGAGCCCGCTGACCCTCATCGACCTGGTGGCCATCCTGCCCTACTACATCACGCTGCTGGTGGACGGCGCGGCCTCGGGCCGCCGCAAGCCGGGCGCGGGGAACAGCTACCTGGACAAGGTGGGGCTGGCGCTGCGCGTGCTGCGGGCCCTGCGCATCCTCTACGTGATGCGCCTGGCGCGCCACTCGCTGGGGCTGCAGACGCTGGGGCTCACCGCCCGCCGCTGCACCCGCGAGTTTGGGCTGCTGCTGCTCTTCCTGTGCGTGGCCATCGCCCTCTTCGCCCCGCTCCTCTATGTCATCGAGAACGAGATGGCCGACAGCCCCGAGTTCACCAGCATCCCCGCCTGCTACTGGTGGGCCGTCATCACCATGACCACGGTGGGCTACGGCGACATGGTACCCAGGAGCACGCCCGGCCAGGTGGTGGCGCTCAGCAGCATCCTCAGCGGCATCCTGCTCATGGCCTTCCCCGTCACCTCCATCTTCCACACCTTCTCCCGCTCCTACCTGGAGCTCAAGCAGGAGCAGGAGAGGCTGATGTTCCGCCGGACCCAGTTCCTCATCAAGACCAAGTCCCAGCTCAGCGGTGTGTCCCAGGACAGTGACATCTTGTTCGGAAGTGCCTCCTCCGACGCCAGGGACAACAGCTGAGCCCAGAGAACACCCCTGCCCCGCCCGCCGTCTGCGGCCTGACGCCATCGCCGCCCACCACGGAAGCCTGCCACGGGTCACCCGCCCTGCAACCGACTCCAGCCATATCACAGGGCCCCTGCCGCCCTACCCTGCCCCCTGTGCCCGGCAGGGAAAGGGAGCCTGGTCTGAGGGGGCACCATCATCTTCTCCCTCAGTAGGGGAGCCGCTCAGCCGTCCCCCCGCCGTGTAAATAACACACCCACAAAACCTGCCCGGCAGAGAAAAACCCAGTACCAGAAACATCCAGTACCAATGCGTCTGTCCTGTGGCCAGAAAGAAAACGCCTTCCATGGGGCCCATCTTAAAAGAGGGAGCTGTGTCTCCCGGCAAAGCCGCCCAGGGAGGCAGCGGAAAGAAAGGACCCGTTTTCTGGGGTGCGTCAGCTGCCGGGGGCCTCGCCTGCCCCAGAGTTGGGGAGATACCCCGCCATGCCACCTTCCCTCCCTTGCTCCTCAAAGCCTGGCCATCTTCATCCTTTCCCCTCTTACCCATCCGCTGTCCCCCATCTTATCCCTGGTTCCCCAACTTCCCAACAAGGCATTTCTCAGTGCAAGGGTGGCCAGGACGTAGAAGCCAGTCTGTTTGGCTGGCTCCAACCGAAATTGCTTATCTTAAAAAATAAAATGAAATAAATAGGTGAGATTTTCTTCTCTCCCACATTTATTTTAACACTGGGAGCAAGCGCTGCATGCCACCTGCCCGTCTAGCTGCATACAGTGTGCTTCCCTGGACAGTTTGGGAAGTATACTGAGCCCACCCACCAAGCCCCGTGTCCGCCCAGACTTAGACAGCACCCACAGAGGCCCCAGCCAGCCCGAGCCTCACAGACACAATGGCATCGCCCTCTCCTCCACCCCAGGGTGCCTAGCTGCTCCGCCATAGCCACTGGCTGTGTGGCCCAAATCCTGGCAACTGTCCATCATTCAGTCCCCCCATGTGTGGCCCTGCCCTCCTCTCCATTTCCTCTCCAATTCCCACCCAGCACACCTCTGTCACGTTCATCCATCCACCTCTCCAGCCTCCTCTGCGGATGTCCCGCCCACTCCCACCTCAGGACCTTTGTCCTTCGTGACAATGGGCAGAAAGGAAAAAAAAAAAGGAAAGAAAGAGGACCAGAGATGTGAGCAGCATCTGAGGTTTGCATCTTACAGTATCCCCCAAAGCTCACATGCTGAAGGCTGGATGAGGCCTCATCTCATTGGCTATCGGGAGGAGATGGGAACTTTGGAGCGCGGCCTGGTTGGAGGAAGCCATGGGCACGCCCTTGCAGGCTGAGGACCCTCCCCCTGGACCTTCCCCTCTCTCTCTGCTTCCTGGCTGCCAGGAGGCGAGCAGCTCTGCCCCACCAGGCCACGCACTTCCGAGGGGACACCTCAGAACATCCTCCTCTCCCGCCCAGGAGCAGAGCGCCAGGCCAGCTGGAGGCTGGTCCCCAGCCCCTCTGTCTCTCCCCCTCTTCCTCACCATGTCTCCATCCATGGCTGTCCCTGTCTTCTGCCTGTCTCTTTCTGTCCTTGTGGCGGTCTCTCTTTCAGTTTTCTTAGTCTCTCTCCCTCTCTGCTTCTGTCTCTTGTTCTGTCTTCTCTGTCTCTCTTCCCTGTCTTTGTCTTCTGTCATTCTGTGGGTGTCCTGTTTTCTATCTCTTGTCTCTCTCTATTCTGTTTTGCCTCTATCATTGTCTCTGTTCTCCACCCTCTCTTCTGTCTTTTCTCTTTCCTCTCTGTCGTCTGTCTTCTCTCTCTCTCCTCTCCCTCCCCTTCGTCCTCCTCCCCCTCTTCCTCATCCTCCTCCCCCTCCAGCACTTCTCAGGCATACTTATGGCTCAGCAGAGTGGAAATGCCGTCCAGGCCATATGGCCTCATTAGAGGCTCTCCTGACACCTGCTTCCAGTGACTCACACCTCGCGTAAGTTTTCCAGCTAATTAACCGTCCTCTCCCAGCCCAGCAGGTGCCATAGCAATGGGTGCTGCCATCTCTGGCGAGGTGACGCCTCAGGTTTACGGAAAGTGGCTGTGAGACGTGAGTGACTGAAGTGGAAGGCGGGAGGTGTCAAACGGGGCCTTGAAAACCTGGACGCGAGACTGATGGAAGGTTGGACCCCCCCCAACTTAAGGACAGAGGCTCACGTCCCTGTGGCCAGGGTCACTGGCCTCGTCCTGCAGCTTCTCATCTGTCCCGATCACCAAGGAGACACGGTTGGCCATCACCCAGGACCTCACCTGGGGCCTCTGGCCTCGATTAGGAACTGGCATCCCAGGAGGCCTGAGAAGCTGCTTCCAGAGCCCACAGACCTAGATTGAGACCTCTCTGCCTCTTTTGCAAGACACCCAGCCATCCTGATCGTGGCCACTGCCCCCTGTCCGTCCAGAGGGGCCTCCATCTGAACCCGACGACTTCGTGGGCCAGCCTCACTTCTTGGTCACGTGACCCTCCTGTCTCAGGCTGGCTGGCCGTTGGGTGAGTGGGAAGGCAGTAAAGCCACACCATTCCCAGGCCCCTCTGAGCAGGGGCGAGCTGGGGGGAGACAAGCCCAGAAACTGCCTCCAGCAGTTCCCCAGGAACTGCCTGGGGACCAGGAAATTCAGCCATCCGATACCGCGGTCCCAATGCATTCTTTTTAAAAGTTTGACCAATGCCAAAAACCTTCGAAGAATAAAATATCAAAATGAAAACTAGATCCGTCTTGGTAGTTTTGGCCTGACCGGTCTCGTCTGGGCTCTGGTCCTGGTGTGTCCAGGTGGGCAGGCTTTACGATGATTGATGGGAGAGCCTGCACGTGCAGATTACAGGAAGTCATTCCTGATGTTGACAAGCCGAGAGTGGACAGGGTCTGGGATGGCGGGGTCTGGGGTCTGCACAGTGGCCACCATGGCACAGAGGGACACTGGGGCCCTGCCGTGCTGAGGGGCCCCTCCCTGGGCTGCCACTTCCTAGAGATGGCAAGTGACAGGTGTGTGCTGTCAGGTGCAAATCCACCCAGCCAGCCTGGGCCCACACTGTCCCCCACTGTCATGGTCACAGGGCCAGACACTGATAACCAAGAGCCCACCAGGGCAGCTCAAGAGTAGCCAGCCCCAGCCTCCCTCCTGGCCTGGCCTGGTCCTTCCCACGGCAACCACGATGAAGCCCCTGGCCCAGGGCTCCTATCGCCTGTTCACCCCCTGACCGCTCACCCGGCCCCCTGTGGGCCAGGCTCCCACGCATCCCAGATACTGGAATCAGCAAACCATCCCCCGACAGTCATGATCACCACTGTCCTCCAATAAAAATGAACCCCCTCCTGCTCTTCCTCCTTTGCTAGATGCTGTGTCATCATGCGACACATCTATAGTTATTTGTATTTTTCTCTTTTTGTTGGTTGTAGGGCTTGAACTCAGGGCCTGGTTGCTGTCCCTGAGCCCTTTTGCTCAAGGATAGTCCTCTGCCACTTTGAGCTGGAGGTAAGAATCTCACAGTCTTTCCTGCCTGGGCTGGCTTTGAACCACGATCCTCAGGTCTCAGCCTCCTAAGTAGCTAGGATGACAGGCGTGAGCCACCAGGGCCCGGCTGTTCTTGACCTTTCTGCCCCTATGTGGCAGTCAGCCCTGGAAGGCAGGGACTGGCTCGCAGAGCCCATGTAGAGACACAAGGAAAGAAAGGATGAATGTGAGTCCCTACATACACCATAGCCACTTGGGTGGTGACAGTCACACTAAGAACAGTCCACGCCCAGGGCTCCTAATGGCTTCTACTCAGAAATGGACTCCATCCTGTGAGCCTAGCCTCCATCAATGACCTTTTCTGTGTGTGTGTGTGTGTGTGTGTGCGCGCGCACACACACACGTGTGCTCTTGTGCCAGTCCTGGAGCTTGAACTCAGCCTGGGTGCCATCCCAGAGCCTCTGTACTCAAAGCTAGGATTCTACCACTTGAGCCACAGCTCCATGAACAGCTTTTTGCTGATTCACTGAAGATAAGAGTCTCACGGGGGCTGGGAAGGTGGCTCAGTGGTAGAGCGCTTGCCTTGCATGCCTGAGGCCCTGGGTTCGATTCCTCAGCACCACATAAGCAGAAAAAAAAGCCGGAAGTGGTGCTGTGGCTCAAGTGGTAGAGCGCTAGCCTTGAGCTGAAGAGCTGAGGGACAGCGCCCAGGCCCAGAGTTCAGACCCCCACGGCCAGACACAAAAAAAGAGTGTGTGGCTTCGTTGGAGCCACACACTGAAAGTCAGACAACCCAGGGTCACAGAAAGCACTAGAAGGTCAAGGATAGCTGGAAGAAGCCTGGGCTTCAGAATGTCAAGTCCGCAGCCTTGAGGATCTCGGCCGTGCTGTGCACCTCTGGGCAGGTGAGCAAAGCCCAGAGGGGCCCACTACTTCCCGGGGGTCCCCACCCCAGCAGGGACACGGGCAGTGCACGACACCCCAGGAAACGCTGGGGCCTGCAAAGAGACGGCCGGCCGCGGCCACCGGGGCACCGGCTCCCTCCCAGCGGGCACTGCGGCTTCCTTCCACTCCGTTTCCACCGTGCCCCAAGCCACTTGGCTCCTCCTGTGCCTGTGCCGCAGCCGCTGGTTACAAACACATTTCCCGCTTGGTTAGGAGAGACCTGGCAGACACGCCCTTGAGATCCTTTCATTCGCAGCTCCGTCCTGGGGGGAGGGGGAGGGGGAGGCCCTGGACGCTGGGCCAGGCAAGCCATGGGCAAGCATGGGGTGGAGTGAGGTCCTGCCTGGACCATCACAAGCTGGGTGGCCCATGAGCTGGTTACTTAACCTCTCTGAGCAGTTTTTCTCGCTGGGGAAGAGGATAGGGGTGATTGTGCCCCCCAGGGCCATGGGGACAGGACAGGAGTGAGCAAGGACCAGGCAATACGGTGTCTGGAGAGAATGTGAGGCCAGCAGCAGCCTCTTTCCGAAGCCATCGTGTTAGGTGGACTGTTATGTCCCCAAATGGCGAAACCCAACTCAAGCTGGCTATAGAAGATGATGTGAGGGGCATCGTGTTGAGTCCATCTAACAAACATAGCCGGCTTCCTTGCAGCCGGTCTGTCATGTGTGGTGACTTTCTGTCTTAAAATGTCTTCTCTCTGGGCTCTATTTTTGTGTCCCATTCCTGGCACCTCTAGACTCTCATGATAACAACATGGCTGCAGGAGACCGGTCATCTTCTCACATTCAGATCCACCAGGAAAGACCAAGGTATCTTTTGGATCATTCCTAAATCCTGAGATTTGCTCTGACTAGAGCAGCTGGGATCACTTGCCCAGCCATGAGCCAATCAGTGAGGTCATGAGGAGAAGGAATGCCCTGATTGGTCAGTCCCTGACGATGTGGTCTGGGAGGGAGGAGGGATGAACGGTCCACCCTGAAGCACTGCCCAGGCCCACAGCCACTCCACCCAGGCAGTGGAGGGGGGGGGAGGGGGTGTGTGGAAGAAATGCACCTGGGAGGCAGATGCCAATGACTTATGTCAATAATTGTAGCTACTCAGGAGGCTGCGATCTGAGGATTGCTGTTCAAAGTCAGCCTGGGCCAGAGGGTCTCTGAGAGTCTTTGTTGTTGGGGCGGGGGGGGCGGGGGGGGGGGGGGAAGGTAGGTTGAACTCTGGGCCTGGGCGCTGTCTCTCAGCTCTTCAGCTCAAAGCAAGCACTCTACCACTTGAG